TCTATATTATGTAAATAATAATATTGTTTATTATGTAATATATATATTTCGTTTTTGTAATAAATCTTCACTTTGTCGTATTAACCTCAATACGTGACACAAGTATAATGATCATTAATCAGTCACGAACTATAAATTTTATTTGTAAAATAGTTAGATATATATTCTTTAAGTTATTAACATATTTCTGTTTTTAATAATTTTCGAAATTATGATGTTTTTAAATGGAATATTATCGTTTATTGTTGAAACTAAACATAAGTATTACAAAATTTCAAACCAAGAAAAAATACATAGTTGAGAAAACGAACCTATGGAATGATTGATAAACGTAACTATATTTAGAAAGAAATGACAAGCGAAATACATATGAACGTGTTAATCCACGGGTTATGTGTAAAAAAAACAAAGCCCCAGCCTGTAAACTCATCATATGTCCAACCCGTGTGCGGATCACCGCTCGGATGATTTGAGTTTAAATGGTTCAACTCGTCAATATCTCTGACTTGAACAATCGTTGTTCTATACTGAAGAAAGAAAATATGGTTATCGGTTGAGAGCACTTTTAAAGACCGTTGCACTAAAATACTCCACATATTTTCAGATAAAAAGATCTTATAAGCAGAATTTTCTTATGCAAGGTCTTAAGATTCTTCATTTTATTAACAAATTTAATTTAACTATTTTCTTTTAATTAATGTAGTATTGAATGAAAGTAAGTTTTTATTTTAATTCTACTCACGAAATCTTGAGCTGTTTTCGGCATATACATTCGAAATTGACATAGATAAGCTCGTCCAACAAATTGACTTTTAACTGGACTTAACGAGAAAAACATTTGAAGACATTCATCAGTAATTGAATCTGCATTTAACTATACATATAAATGAATATTTTACATAGGAACAAAACAAAAAAAAAGAAAAATTCTAATCTTACATCAAGAGCACTTTCTGCAAGTAATACATAAATATCTTGTCCAATTGTATCTTTACTTTGAACAAGATTAACTTGAAAATTTTGTTGAAGTTTATGAAATGCTTCAGATAATAGTTTAATGTCTGCAATTTAAAAAATAGAATAGAAAAAAAACAGAAGAAATATGAGAGACCATTTTGTTCAGCACCAGTTACAACCAAACGACGAATTTGTGCATCCATTTTATAACTATTTATGAATGTATCAAATTTGGATTAACTTTAACAACCGACATTCTAAGAACAGTTACCTTAGAGAACTGTCTCAATAAATAATAATTCTTTAGCGACATCTTTTAAAATAAAAACATCTTAATGTTGAACAAAAAAAAAACTTTTCTAAATGTTCGGCTTTTCAGACAATAACTTTTGTTTCCATCCCTGGTCAAAGAATACGATTCGTATACTACAAACTTAGGGTGATTTATAATGGTTCATCACGATTGACCTCGGTTGCTCACTTCCTATTTTAACAATTACTTTTATTTTTATTTTTGTTTTTCATATTGGATTGATTCATATTAGTTTCTGATTATAATTTCTTTTATCAATGTAATCATTTTATGTCATATGATAAATTTTCTATAAAAATATATAATCAAGATGAGAAATCTATCAATGCACAAAAAAATACTACAACAATTGAACTGTTGGATGTAAAATAGACATTGAGGAATCTTTTTTTCTCTTAGTATATGAATAAGCACTCGTTTCTGTAAGTATACTCGGCATATGTCGTATGTGTTGTCTTCTACTGTAAATTTTTGGTACACTAGTTGATTTTGTAAAAGCATGAGTTAAAAGAAGCGTTAACATGTTGGGCCGAGATTTCAATTCCCCCCCTCCCAATAAACAAGTTGTGGTAGACATCTTTATAACGTCCCATCACCGATCATTACAGATATTACTCTTTGAAAATAAAATTCATTCTGTATTTTTACATATTACTAAAAGAGACATCGGTAAATTTATCGACAACATAATAAGTTCCAAGGTAATATTGATTTAATTTTGTTTGATAAATCGAATAGAATATCGAGTATATACAATATTCACTTAAACCTATTTATTAAATATATCTTTCTATTAGTGAGACCAGTTATGTCATGTTTCAGATTTTAATCCCATAGGGATTGTACTGAGAGTTTTTCTTTTACTATAGGCTACAAAAAAATGTAACACCTAATGCGTTCATCAATCTTTCTAATGTAAAGTGTAAAATTGAACATTCCAAAAATTTTACAGCGATTTCATATATGAAATCAAAGAATATTTTGTTACGAGTTTATCTATTAATATTAATATTCAATTTGTTTATGATGAATCTATGCGATATTAATACTATGTCTTAACATTCTTCTTGGCTTCGTTTCATATTCATCAATTTTAAAATATATTTACATGAAATATAACTGTCCTCGCAAAAGTATAACTGATAAAGCGATATTACTAAACGAAAATGAATTTTTCTTCCAGTAGGCAATTTAAAGAGAAAATCAGTTAACTAAAATATCTCATATCGACCATGAATATAGTTGAATATTCTTAATAGTATGTAATTGTTTACAATCACAATATTTTCTTTGATTTCATAAAATGATACATAAAGTATCATCTAATTGATGTATTCACTATATGAAATAAAATATTCTCTCGGGCTATATATAGTATCCATTACATCCATTTATCAGCAATTAACATTTGAAAATATACTTAATGCCTTTATTAGACATAAATGTATAATATAATACACCAAACGTGCATTGCTATTTTTTTCTTTTTATTTTTGATGTTATTATTGCTTATTTATGTCGTTATTCAACATAACAAAGCAATTAATATTTACACAATCGTAAGAAAAGTTACTTACAACCACCTTGTCAAATATAATACTTTATTGTGTATTCATGAGTGTTTCTTAAAATAAACTCAAACATATTTGTCGTGTTTTAACAACAAAAGTGCACTTTTAATAATATACAATTACCTTTCCGTCTCAATGCAATAACGATTATGATATTGATGCACTGTATGATAACTATCGTACCTTCATTGTGAATCACATAATGAATAACATAAAAATTCTTCATTCATATATGCATTAGTGCGAATCTGTTGTGCAATATCTCTTTGACTTTATAACATGAATGAAGATTTGAGTACAAGTAAAGCGACTTTTATTCTTTTTTTTTAGTAAATAAAAACATTTATTCATGATAGTACATAGAATATTTATTTAAATAGATTCCAATTTTGGTTTTTCTGTCTTGCCTGTTCTTATAAAATTGCTCAATAGAATGAGCTTCTCAAATAAATCAATTTGTATTCAAACTATTTCATGAATAGCTGTCGAAAATATCTTATTCATGACCTCGATAATAATATCAGCCATTAGTATTCTCTCATATAGTAGAAGAAGACAGATTTATAAAATCAGTCATATTTTTTATCCTAAAGATTATTTCATATAGGTATATATACTTTTTTTTGGTGCATTCATTAATAGCGAATTTATTGGTCTGCATACTCATTTAAATTTAATGAATAATGATAAATTTTGTTCAAAGAGATCTTGATTTTATTATTTATCATCAAGAAAATCTGCAATTTATGTTCCTTCAGATCATACATGTGAAACGTTTGATGATCGAAATCAATATATAGAAATTGACTCAGAGGTAAATCAACAAGTATCAACAGTTATTAGAAGAACTACTGGCATGATGATATATGTATTATACTGATCTACCAACATGATACGGTTCTACGATAAACTCACTGTGTATAATATACGTTTTTAAAAATCAATATATATTAATATTTATGAGATCCAGTAAAATTGTTTTTCTGTTCAAAAAAAATATCATCTGAATAATTTTATTTAACATTTAAAAATAAAGACTAATAATAAATATTGTTTTCTATATGAGAATTTTTTTACATTCATAATTTATGTTATAAAATTCAAATAAATTGAAGAATTTCAATTATAACTGGTGAAACGATTTGAATTTAGAGTATATTGAAAATTTTTTGCCAAATCAGCTCGAAAAGCTATTTTCATCTTACTTATAATGATAATCGACGTAATCAATAACGAAAACACTACCAGACATTTTAAAAATAACCAATCTTTAAAATATAATTTTTATTAAATATTTATTACTGTTGTCTTGAAGAATTATAAATATATTCAGTTTATTTTATCAACAATAGTATAATCTTATCTTGGTTAATCATCTATAATATATGATTGTAACATTGAATGTACCATAATCATTCTACCAATAGTCTCCATAAGCCAATTACTAATTTGCTGGTAACAAATTTAATAATGAAGCTGATTAACAATGTTAAATGCCTACGATGAAAATCGATTGTTTGGTATCATTAGTCATTGTTATTTCAAAGAAATTTGAATTAATCAAAAAACTTCGATATTCGTCGTATGCTTTAAATCTGTTCATCGCCTACACTATTTGTTTATTTCTAGGTAAATCAGTTAGCAAATCATACTTGTAATCAATTTGGGAGAATGAAATTGTAATGGTAAACAAATGATCAATCATAACCATTGCAAAACTAGCAATAATATTTTTTTACCTTTCTTATTTATAATGCTATGAATAAAACCAACCATCCTTTCGTACTCTTATTTACTTTATTCAAAATTCGTACTCTTTGATTGCTACTGAAAAATGACTTCGACGCAACTGTATCACTGTCTGTTATTTATAAAATCACGAGAGAAATCAAATATGTTGTCAACATATGATCAATGATTTACGATGCATGGCTATTTATCTTTATATTACGCACTAAAGAATGTTTATAAATAACATAGAAAGATACCTTGTCTACCTGTATACATAAGTAGTCAATATTATACATTAGTTTGTTTCTTTTACAAATTAACGATTTTCATCTTTGCTATTACATATCATAAGAGAAAAAACTGTTTTCATTAAGAGTAAAAATATTCGATCAAAACAATTTAATTACAACTTAGTAATATCTCTAAAAATGGTTGTACTATTCGAAGACCCACGTAAACTTCCTTTGGCAACATTTCTTATGCAAGTTTTCATAACATTAGTGGTATCTAAAGTTCTTGCTAAATTACTTTCATATATTCGACAACCACAAGTCATTGGTCAAATTATTGCTGGTATTATTTTTGGTCCATCTATTCTCGGTAAGAAAATAAAGAAATGTTCATTTATTCTTTTTTTTTGTTTGTTTTTTTCAATGAAAATGATTTTTATTTCTTTAATAGGTAATATTTCAGCTTGGACCAATGCAATATGGCCATCATCAAGTCTTGGAATATTTCAACTTGTTGCTAATTTGGGTTTAATATTTTTCATGTTCTTCTTAGGACTTGAACTTGATTTAAAACAAATAAAAAAAAGTTGGAAAATTACAATACCGGTTGCAGTCGCTAGTATCACAATTCCAGGTAAGTACTCATATATTTAAATATTTTTAAGCATAGGAAATAGGAGAATAATTCACATATATTTAGTGGCAATTGGTTGTGTAGTATCTCTTTGGCTTTACAACATGAATGAAGGTTTGAATACAAGTAAAGTAGCTTTTATTCTTTTCATTGGTAAGTAAACAACAGTTGTTCATACTAGTACATAGGAATATTTACTGAATAGGTTCTGGTTTTGGTTTTTCTGCCTTTCCTGTCTTGGCAACATTGCTCAATACAATGGGTTTATTAAATAAACCAATTGGTATTCAAACAATTTCATTAGCAGCAGTCGAAGACATCGTCGTTTGGGTCATCTTAGCTATTGCTAGTGCTTTTTCATCAGGTGGTTCAGCATTACAAGGGCTCTACACTTTATTATTAACATTAGGTTTTATTGCTATTATGTTTTTTATCATTCGACCAATTTTAAGATTGATTCATCGTTATTACCTCCGTCAAAACAATGATACCAATGTTTATTTAGTTGTTGGCTGTTTTTTATTACTTGTTATTTCAGCATTTACTACAGAAGTTATGGGTAAGAGTCAAATATATCTTATTGACAGTCCCGATAACAATATCAGCCATTAGTATTCTTTCATATAGTAGAAGAAGACAGATTTTTATAAATCTATCATGCTTTTCATCCTAAAGATTATTTTATATAGGTATACATGCTTTTTTTGGTGCATTCATTAGTGGATTATGTATACCACGCAAAGGAAGTTTGGTTGAGTTTTTAGCCGTACGTATACAACTCATTGTTGTCGAATTCTTTTTACCGTAAGTTTTTTATTTTTGATGGAATTCTTTTCAATGACAAATTACTCATTAATTTTAGTCTTTATTTTGCTAATAGTGGACTTCATACACATTTAAATTTAATGAATAATGGTAAAGCATGGTGGACATTAATTGTGCTTATAGTTTTAGCTTCCATAGCTAAAATAGTTCCTGTAACACTTGTATCAAAACTTTGTTCAAAACGATCTTGGTTTTATTGTTTATCAATTGGTGTACTTATGAATACACGTGGTATTGTACAATTAGTTGTTTTAAATATTGGTGTTGAACTTGGTGTACTTTCAGCACAAATATTTGCTATATTTGTTTTAATGGCAACAATTTTAACATTTTTAACATCACCCGCATTATATTTACTTAATCGACAAATACGTGATACACGGCCATCATCTACTCAAATAGTTCCTGAAGATTTACGTAATTTTTCACTAGCAGAAACACATCTGACAGAAACTAATTTTGATAATCAAATGAGTATTCGAACAATTTCAAATGGTGGTATTTATTCTACTCAATCATCAACAGATGTAAACAGATTATCGAGAAAATCTTCAAATAACGTACTTCCAGGTTATACATTTACAATATTAGATTATCCAACTAATCCTCCTGCATTGAATCCAACTATAAATGAAGAAGAAATGGAAGAATCTGATACTACGTTTCGTTTGGGTGTTAATATGACACGATTTTAAACTAAATATTTTATATATATTACTTTTTGTGAAAACGAACATGTGCCATTATTTAATAAGTATTACAACTCTAGTCTATATTCAGTAATAAAAAAATTCATTGTGTTTATTCTATTTACAACTAAAGATTTAAAGCTAATAATCGTTGCTTATTTTCACATATGAGAATATTTTATACATGTTCATGACCGATGAAATAAATTTGAATACAATTCGAGAATTTAGTTTTTATAAAACAAAACTAATGACCACTTTTTTAATAGAGGTTTCGATAAATTTTAAATTCCTTTTAAAATCCTACATCTTTGAATGCACGTTTCAGAATTTTAGAAGAAATATTTGAAAGCGATAGTTTTGAAATAAAACAAACCAAAAGCATCAGAAGAAGTCCTTTTCTGATAGACCTATATCATCGTTATTTTCACGATTCAATTTAATCTTTATACAGTTTTGTTCAGAATAAAATTCTACATTCGATAGCATAATAATAAATCTTTCATAGAATAAGCCTAGCTTTCAAAAACATTATTTTTCAAAGTGCACTCAAAAATACTGACAATTATTAGTTCCAAGTCTTTTTCTCGTAAACACCGGCATCGAAAACTTTGAAAAGGTTGTAAAGACATAGAGTAAAAAATTTTCTATTTATTGGTACTGAGTAATTTACTTTTAACATTGGCTTTGATGAGGAAAGGTTTTACAAAAATCAAAAAGCATCAGTAGAGAATAGGAAGTCGCAGTTGAATGACTTTGTAGACGTGAATCTTTTGAATTTGGTGCCAACAAGAGAAAAAGTCGACTGTGTTGTACAGCTTGAAATTCTCTATGTTTTAACATGTAAAGAAAACTTTTTATGCTTAGGAAGTAAGATAACAGGGTACCAAAATTAGGTGTAATTTATTGTGGGACACGCTTTAAATGAGAATAACTGTCTCGTTGCATACCAGTGATACTTCTTTTGGATTATGTTTCATACAAAAACTTTTGAATGATGAGTTCTTACTTCTTATCAAAAATTATTTAGTTATTTATCTGAAATCATACTCTCCTATGATGAAATTTTTCGGACATTATATGAATAGATATCCATCAAAGATCTGTTATTCAGCGATTTCTCATCACTTTTAAATAGCTGAAAGACTACTGTATTAAATAAATCGATTTTATGTCTATATTTAAATTATTCAAGTTTTTCTATGTATATTTTCGTAAAAAAGAATTATACATGTGTTCTACTATCATGCATAAGAAAATGTTAAAATTTTATTAAATTTAATTCATAATAAATCATAAAATAATACAGGCACGAGATCTAACTGTTGTCTCTTGTCGATCACGAATCACATGTACAGAAGTATTTATATTTGTAGTAATAGTAGTTCCATCAGAAGGTTTAATTATATCCATCATTTGATATTTGAAAAAGATAGCTTGTGCTGCATCACGAAATCGAAAATCTTCATAATTATTAATATATTTATTGTTCTTTTCATGGATACCATTACTCATTCATTCTATTTGAAAATATTATATACAAGTAACTATAAATAATGAATCTCCACCATCATACACAACATTGTCATGGTTCTTTTTTTGGTTATATATTAAAACATGAAAATACAGTAGCGACATCTTTTGAAATATATATAACTCGTTGATTTAACCAATTAAAATTCAAAAAAAATTTTCTTTTTATAGTCTTTGTATGTATTGGCTAGTCAGTTAAGTTCAATTAGTTAATCATTTATAGGAACAATTTAGGTGATACTTTGATTGAAATAGAAAAAGAAATATAATAATAATGACAGAAACAAAATTAATTGGTGAAGTAAACAAAGTTGATCGATCAGTTGATCGATTAAAAACATGTCCATTATTATTGCGTGTTTTTTGTAGTAAAAATCGTCATCATTTAGCTAGGTTTGTTTTTGTTTATATTTAGAAAAAATTTTCTTTTTTTTGATATTTTTGTATTTTTCTTAGGGAATATGAACATGAACATACGCCAGAAAATGAACTTCAAATTTATACATGGATGGATGCAACATTAGGAGAATTAACAAAATTAATTAAAGAAGTTAATCCAGATGCACGTCGTCGTGGTACACAATTTTCATTTTCAATTGTTTCAGCTGATGATGCACATAATCGTTATTATCTTTCGGATATTGGAAAAACTGAAAATAGTCCACGAAGTTCTGATGATAAAGTACAATTAAGAAGTACACGTTTTCGAATAGGTGATTATCTTGATGTTGCTATTATTCAAAAGAGACAAGAACAACCAACATCAAATTCACGACGTGATCGACCTCTTCAACAATCATCTGAAGATAATAATAATAATAAACGACGTAGTGGTCCTATTAATGAAAGAAATGGTGGTGGTGGACCTGTTCGATCGGCTCCACGAAATGATCATCGTGATCGTCCTTATTAAATCAAATAAACATAATTCATTATTATACTCCGCCTGCTTCTTTTTTTTTCTTTTCTTGTCTTGTACATGATAGTTTGTGTTCGTACATATATTTGATGTTTCTGGTTTTTGTTGAATACTCAAAAGACAAACACAAAAGAAAAGAATGATATAATAAAAACTTTCTTCTTTACGTTATAAAATTCAAATAAAAGGTATTGAATACATATCTATTCTAGAATAATCAAGTTGGATTAAATAAAAAAAGAACATGTCTTATTGAATGATTATAATAATGGTTCATTTAACATGAGAATGAAATTCAATATTGTAAGTGTGAAGGCTTAAAATCTTAGCTACTGTTTCCTAGAAAATATTAAATGCATAAGTTGGTATGTTTAGAAAAAAAAATGAACTTAATAATAATTAAAGCTGCAAGTAGTTGGTAACAATTTTATTTCACTTTTGTGAGTCTATTTTATATTATTTATTTAGTATCACAATTGTTACATTAATGAACATTAGAATCTTTCAAATTTAAACAATAGTTAGAATGGTTCATCATTGAGAAATATCATAACAACACAATATTGGTTCTATTAAAAAGAGAAATATTTTAGAAGAAGGTTTTTTTTTAATATTATCGTTACGTTGTTGTCTTTTTTTTCTTTCAATGCAAATAATAGATGAGAAGATATTTCATTGTATTTTATCTTTTCACCTTTGTCCTTGTTATTTTCTTTTATTCTGTTCTATGCTTTCCATAAATGTCGGGTACATACTACAAATCTAATATATCGCATTCCGTTATAGACAGCAAGTCATAATAATTTACGTATGATATCATTTCGAACATTTCTTTTACTTATTACTGTAATTTTGGCTGTGATCATTGCTCGATATTATGTACCTGTTCGTATACCTGGTCCAATGGTACATCCATTGAAATATAGAATTATTTCTGCTGGTTTCGGACTTGTGCTTGATATTGTAAGTTATACAAAAAGAATAATATTTTTTGCAAAAATAAAAAAAAACGCTTTTTTTTTTTTGAAAGAGTCGTTTTCTTGATTCCATTACTGGCATTCCTTATTATACAATACTTAATACAATTGTTGATTCCTTTGATCCTATTAAAATACGTCCATTCGATCATGGTCAAGTAGTGGTAAATAATGAAAAGAAATTGTTTGTTGTTTTTTTTTGTTCTGATTATTCTTATTCTTGAATATTTAGTATCATGATCAATTTATTGAAAATGTTCTTGTTCGAATATATACGCCAAAAAATATATCTAGTACATCATTATTACCTGTTATTATATTTTTTCATGGCGGTGGATTCTTTTTTGGAAGTATTTGTAAGTTATTTATTATCTTTCAAAGAATATAAATAAATTTATTTATTTATTTACATAGATTCACATGATACTATGAATTATCATATGTCAATGTATACAGGTGCAAAAGTTATAGCTGTAAAGTAAGTTGAATACTTTTTTCAAGAAGAATATTAATTGTGTATATATTTAGTTATCAATTAACACCAAATGTTCATTATCCAATACCGATTAATGATAGTGTTAAAGTAGCACGATATGTTATTGATAATTATCAAAAATTTGATATTGATCCTACGCATGTTTTTCTATGTGGTGATTCCGCTGGTATATACACATATATATCATATAATTCTATATTAATACAAAATATAAATCTTCATAAATTTTAGGTGGTGGTATGGCTGTAGTTGTCGAAAGACATTTACGTCGTGAACAAAAGTCAATTGTTCGTGGTGTTCTTCTTCTTTATCCTTTACTTCAACTTGTTAATTTTCGTTTATTATCATATCGTATTTATTTACCATACCGTATTTTATCATTACTTCGTGAAGATATTCTTGTAGAAGTTGCAAATTTTTATATCAACACAACATTTTCTCATGATGAACTTTTTAATAATCGACATTTGTCATTAGATGATTATAAAAATTTTTATTCAAAAATTAATTTAAAAATTTTAAATCAAGAATACAACGACGACATTAATATATATCAATCATTATCGAAATCATCTCATCCTGATACATCGAAATTATTTAATGAGAATGTTTCACCTTTATTAGCTGATGATGATATTTTACGTAATAGTCCAGCAACATTTATTGTTGCTTGTACATATGATGTACTTTTATCTGATGCTCAATTATATTTTAATCGTTTACAACAATTAAATGTTACAAATGTTGTTTATAGAGAATATTCTATATTTCATGGTGTTATGACATTTGTTGATTTTCCGGTTGCTTTCAATGAAGCTTTTGATATTATTAATGACAGTGCTCAATTTGTAGTTAATAGAACTACTTTAGTAAAGTAAATTTTATTGATATAGAATGAGTAAAAAAGAAAATAAAATGAATGGAAAATATTATTTTATTGTCAGATGAATGTTTTATTAATTAATGAAAAATAAGAAAAGAAATTCCTGTATAAATGTGAATTATGTTTGTGTTTATTTTTGTTTGTTATTTTCATGAAGCGTTCATTCGTAAAAATAAACAACTCGCATTGTAAAAAATTTACTTTTTGTTATTAATTTATAATAATTAATATATTATATTTATAACAAAGTCATATAAGTCTAGAAATAGAAACATGTGTATTGTTTTTTATTACGTGAACATTTCTGAGATATATTTAATGGAAAATTATTGAAAGTTGCATTGTATTTATAAGGTACCTTTTGATTTATACTTTGTCATTTACACTTTTATGAAAATGATTTTCTGTTTTTGTTCTGATGCTTTTGATGTAGATATCCTTACTTATATATTCGAAAAATAAACTACTTCATGTGTTTACTATTGAAAAAAAAAACAGAAAGACAATAGAACGAGTCAAAGTAGCCATGTTTACCTGTTTATTAAAAGAAAAATGTAATCGATATACTACTGATTGTTGTTACTTAAATATTGTATATTCTAGATAAAACATGGCTCGTACTACTCAACGTATAGCTATCATAGGTGCTATAGTAGCAAGTTTTATTGGATATCTGTATCAAGCACCTCATAGTGAAGGTATCGCACAAATGAATCGTGTACGAATACTTGGTATTCCAATAAAGATAGCTTGTTTAATTGTATGCAACATTTTATTCATTTATTTATTTTTTTGTTATAATATTGTTCAACTTTGAAGGGTAAAGTAGCCGAATTATTTGGCATATCTAGTGAAGCTGTAGTTATACAAAAATTTTGTAAAATAGTACGACAATTGAAAGATAAACAAGAAGATGCTGGTCTTCAAGTAAAAATAATTTATTTCACTTTCAATGATATCTTTTATTTGTGAATTTTAGATTGAAGATACATTGATTGAAAATGTACCAGTTAGAATCGTTCGACCATTGAATAATAATGACAACTTACCAGCTATTGTTTTTTTTCATGGTGGTGCTTTTTATATGGGTTCTGTTGGTAAGTTTGATTCTTATGTATGAACAAATTTTTCATGTCTATCAATAAAATTTTAGATACACACAATGGAATTACGAGTGCTCTAGCACGATTAGCCAATGTAGTTGTTATCTCTGTCAAGTAAGCATGGTTTTTAAATGATAAATATTTATCAGTTAATCCATGATATTTTATTTAGTTACCGTCTTTCGCCTCAACATCCCTTTCCGGCTGGCCTCGATGATTGTTATACTGTTGCAAAATATGTTCTTAAACATGGTGATTCGAAAAAATTACGCATCGATCGAAATCGTGTCGCTTTAGCTGGTGACTCTGCTGGTATGTTTTATTTTTCATGGTTCAATGATTTTTTAGCACCTGGTTGAGAAAAAATACAAAGTAATGAAAAAAAGATATTAACGGATGGCCCATCAACAATGGAAAAATTTTATTTCCTTTTAGTCAAAATACATTTGAAAGAGTTCATTCGATAGAGAATTTTTCGTTCTAAAAATCTCTCGACTTGATTTTTTTAAATGAGTTTTTCTTATGAATAGAAAATACGAAAGATCGACAATTACTGAACAGGACAAAAATGATTTACAAGATTTCTTTTTTAGTAACCAGCTCCTTCACGATTTGACATATGCTACAAGATACTTCATAAATTCTTCATTGCAAATAATCTTTTTCTGACAAATCCATACAATTGTTTGTTTTTTAATTAAACATACTCTATTTAAGATTTCATTCTATGCTCGACAATAAGATAATAAATCTTTCATAGAACACTTTTGACTTTTGAAAATACGAATTTCGAAAGTGCATTTAAAAAAAATACTGTCAGATGTCAGTTCCACGTTTGTTTTTTGCTTCTAAACAATACAATCCGAAGCCTTACGAAGATCTTAAAAGCATAGAACGAAAAATTCGCCATCAAACGCTCTTAGAATAGACTCTTTGAACAGTGTTTTGAGTTTTCAATAAAAAGAAAATCAAATTATTCTATTCTTTGTTCAAAAATCGTTTGAAAGAGTGCCGATGAATGAAACATTTTTTATTTACTGCAGAAATAAAACTTTTTTTCACATATATTTCAGGTGGTAATATGGCTACTGTAAATACCATGCGGTTTATTACTCATCCTGTCGGTCAATACTCACCTCGTCTTCAAATTCTTATCTATCCGCTTTTGCAACTATTCGATTTAATGCTTCCATCTTATGTGCACCAACATTACGAATTTTTTTCATATAGTGTCGATTATACTATGTCAGTGTATTTAAATGAAAAAATTGATGCATCAATATATGCCAATAATCATACAAGTCTTAAGCAAAAACGACATTATCGTAAATATGTTGATTGGTCTTTAATACCATCAAAATATCGAACACTTTATAAAAATCCTATTACAGATGATAAGGAAGGTGATCCAAGTCTTATTAAAAAAGCTAAGAAACTTCTTAGTCCAGAAATTTCTCCATTACTTGTTGAAGATGAACTATTAGCTAAATTACCACCGATATATATATTAAGTGTTGGTCATGATCGTTTACGTGATGAAGCATTCATCTATGAAGGTCGTCTTAAACATGTTGGTGTTCCAGTTGTTCATAATCATTATGAACATGCATTTCATGGTTCACTGAGCTTGTTATATGGACCATCAGGATTAGATATTGCACATGTAATGATCGGTGATATCGCTAAATATGTTAAAAAGAACTTATAATTTATAAGCATTGTTTCTAATGTTTTTCTTTTATAGAGACATTTTTATTTTGCATGTCATTGCATAATCATAATCACCCCCGAGTTTCTTTCTCTATATCAATTTCAGACAACTATTATGTTACTCTAATAAAGTATTTGATCAATTGAAAATAATTATATATCTCATGTTAGTATACTGATTTGGATGAAAACAATGTTGACTTGTTTTAGTTTTATTTAACGAATCAAAGTACATCTATAAAACTGAGTCAAAGAAAAAAATTAATAACTACAAAAAAAAAGATGAAAAATTAGTATTACAAATTGATTATCATTTTTCGGTCGTTTGTTGATATTATATAGTTTCGATCCTTGCAATAATACTTTTCACTTTCTGCTCAAACCTAAAATCATCATCAAATATGAACATTGTCGACAGAATATTTCCGAAGTTGATTTGTAATTGAGCAGTAAATTTCTGAACATGCAATAATCATATCACGACGTTTTCTGATAGCTTCATTCAATTCGTTGGTAATGTTTTTCCATGAAATAGTTTTATTTTATTTTATCATACTTTTTAAAAAGAGGCTTTTAAATATTCTGCATTTTCAATGACTACCTATGTAAGGAAGTAATCAGGACATTTCAAAGCGAATTGCACATTAATGATCAATAGCTATTTCTCAAATAATCTCATTCATCAAGTGAAACCCTTCGAGACCAAGGAAATTATGAAATGAGCTCGTTCCGATTATTTATTTATTTTATTGTGTGATATAACTTTGTCATTGAGAATTTTTTTCTTGTGATATACGATATTCATTAGCGAATTTGGCAATTAAATCATCATCTAAATAACCTGCTAATCCCTTATGATTACAGTAAGAAATGATTTTCATTATACTAATATTTGCTTTATGTTTTTTTTTTTATAAAAACATATTCTTGAATATTATCGATGTATCTAGATTATGAGAGAAAAAAATTTCTTCTTATTAGTGATGTTGAATAAATCTTCCAGAAATTTCATTTTGTGATATTTGATATTAGAGAAACACTTTTAAATTGTGGCTAGGACTTGTATAATTGCTGAATTCATTGCTTCACGAAAAATTTTTCGATAGTATAAATTTTGCTGTCAATGTGAAATAATCAGTGGAAATATAAAACAATTCTGTTGCCTACAATAAAATGTTTTGAATAGACGATGTTGAAACATTGACTGTTTCCAATAATCATAGATTTCTCAATTATATCTTTTTCTTATTTCTCTTCTTTTTCATACTTAACTAAACGAAAAATATCAATAAGAGTATTGAAGAATGTTTCATACTGCTATCAGTTGTATCATTGGTCTTATATTTGAACTAAATATAGAATATTCAATGCTTTTTTATTGATAAATTTATGAAGAAATACACTGTGATACATTCAGTTAATATTTTCAACATATGTCATAGTATTTAGTCAGTTTAAAATTCATATCATCACTTAGAGATCCATCGAAGTGTTAAGAAATAATTTTATCAATTTTTCTTTCATCGAAGATCAAAAATTGATCGGCTATATCAATAGATGTCCGTTTCATTCAATGGCTTAAAATTTTCTTCTGTACTTTTTCAATGATTCGTTTGTTGTTTTTTAAAGGAAAAAACACGATCTTACTAATTATGAAACTTGTCTTTTCTCAATTAAATTAAATCAAGGCTGAACTCAAGTCATTGAATGAGTCATCGGCACGCACTTTTTGTACGTCCTATGACACATAATACACTAAAAATTTTATTAGTTAAATTTCATACCCTATTATTACGCAGATCAATATTGTAGTTATCTAGTTCGAAGCAAATCCCTCATTTATTCAGTCTAATTTTTATTGTGAGAATGGTCGATCAATCAGATATCGTCGAATTGCCAGCTATACCATCTGATGCGCCTGAATGGGTACGTGCTTTACCATCGAATGGTCGTTTTGTTGATCGTACTAAATTGTATGATATAACGGGTCATATTTTATTTGATTCATTACTTAATTCAAATGGTATTCGACATTTCTTCTTTTTTATGGCTAATGAACAACAAGCACAACGAGCACAAAAAGCATTTAATGGTGATTTAACTAATCCATCTTCGTCTAGTCATGATGATTCGACAATTAATGATAAATTCGAAGTTCGAGTTGCATTTCATCTTGGCGAAGGTATTTGCGGACATAAAGGCATTGTGTAAGTTTTTAAAACAAAGAAATTTATATAATTTATTGAGTTTTTTTTAAAATTTTTGAATAGACATGGAGGACTTACAGCTACAATGCTTGATGAAGTTAGTGGTGCTGCTGCGTAAGTTGATTTGTATTAATTGAAAGAAGAAATTTTATTTGATTTTTTTTTAAATAGATTTTCCTGTGTTGGGCCTTGTTTTACAGCTAATCTTAATATAGATTATCTTAAACCATTGATGACACCAGCATGGGTTCTAGTTCGTGCTCATGTTGAACGTCATGAAGGACGAAAAGTATTTATACATGGTACTGTCGAAAATGGAGAAGGTATTGTTTATGCTAAAGCTGTTGGTTTATTTATTAAGCCTAAACTAAGTGTAAAAGAACATGTTCAACAACATCAAGAGAAAGAATAAATATTTATATTTTTCACCGGTGTTTATGTATTGTATATTCAGATAGATTTTTACTTGAAATTGATTGTTTTGTTATTTTAAGAGGATAATATCGTTTTCAGTATATGGAATTCGATTAATTAAAGATGTTCTATTGAACAATTTTTTTTTCTATTATATTCAACAATGACAATCTGTATGTGGATACTGTCTTTTTGTTATAGTTGTGTTTTTCTGTTAATATTCCATTTTATAACGTTATATCAAAACAAATAAAAATAAAAATAAAAAAAAAACAAAAACAAAATAAATTATAAAATGATTCAAATATATTATTACTTTATTTCAGTTGTATCTTCAGAAGAATATAGGAAATTAAAATTATGTGCAATATATATTTCTACATCGTAATTGGACAATAAAAAAAAAATGCCTGAATTTTTATTTTTCAATTAATAAATAAATATACCTATATTCATCAATGAAGACAACTAATATTTGTTATTTCTACACAATGTTACATTTTCTTACTAAAATTCTATTTTTAACATTATTAATATTTATTTATTGTGAATTTATTATTTATTATTTTGTTTTATTGGGTTGTTCATGGTCACAATTATCTAAACTTGATCAAGATTTTACAATTTCATCACCAAAAGATCCAAGTAAAAAACCATTACATGTTATGTTAATTGCTGATACACATTTACTTAGTTCATATGAAGGTCATTGGTTTAATAAATTACGTCGTGACTGGCAAATGTATCGTTCATTTCAATCGGCAATTTTTTTATTTGAACCACATATTATTTTTTTTCTTGGTGACTTAACTAATACAGGTCAATGGTATTCAGATAAAGAATGGAATAAAACTATTCAACGATTTCATTCTTTATTTTCAGTATCATCTAATATACGTTTATATGTTCTTGCCGGTAATCATGACATTGGTTTTCATTTTGATGTAACTGATAAAAATTTAAAACGTTTTGAACAAACATTTCAAACACCACATGTTCGTTTATTAACTATTGATGATGATAATATACATTTCGTATTAATTAATTCAATAGCATTTGAAGGTGATCAATGTCGTTTATGTGAACGTGCTGATCATGAATTAAATACAATTATTAATGAACTTAGTCAAACTGATATATTGACTAAACCAGTATTATTATCACATTTTCCTTTGTATCGTTCATCAGATGCTAATTGCTCACGACAATCATTGACAACATTAAAAGTAAATTTGTTGTTTTTGATTGATCATTAATTTAAAGAGTAGTTCTCGCATGAATTAGATTTGTTCGAGTATATAGATTTTTTGCATTAAACTATTCATAAGACGTTTGAGTGAGGATGAGTAACTTCAAACCTAAATGATGGAATCAATTATAGGTCGATTGTAATTTCCACTGGTAAAAAATAATATTAATTATTCCATAATTTCAAACAAACATTTAAACCAATAACAAAATCAAAACAAGTTAATAATTGTCTTTTCAACAAATTTGAAACTTATGAATGAATTTTAAAGTAGGACATATCCGTTCTTCATAATTTGAAGTTCTCTATTTATGGTTGTGATTTAAGTGATTATAAAAATATATACAAATGATCAGTACATGAATTATCAATATTGAATTGCAAAATGGTCAGTTTATCATATATATATATATATATGTAATAGGAAAAAATTCAGATTTGATCAATGGAAACTATAGACTTTATCAACAGAATTTTTTTATCTATATAAAATAGATTATGGATTTTATTTTATTGACACTCGTGCCCACACCTAAACCCATCCCATCCCAAACTTACACGCTTTATAATCATCGTGCTCAGCTTCAGCTTTATATAAACAGTGACTTTTTTCATTGTCTACATGATATAGCAGATAAATACTTCCTCTGCATTAAGATCCACGACTAGAGACGTACAAGACCAAGTTTTTTGGTCTCTCTCCGTCCCCAGTCTACAGAAAACGATTCCAGAATTTATTCGTATCACATCTAAAAAAGCTTCTTCAACACTTGTTTGTTGATTTATTTTGCCGACAATTAGCAATTTTTTAGGTCATCTCTCTTGAATTATGTTCTGATTGATGATTTATGAGATCATCTGCTTAGAATCATAAAATATTTAACTATAATCTTTGGTGCCAGTTGGGACAACTTTTTTTCTCGTAGTCTGGATCCCGATATCAGCAATTTCTCTTTCCTGTGGCCTTGGTCTTGTTACACTTCCAAATTCTAATCTCATTCATCTCTGCTCATGGCAGTTGGCTTTATTGCATCTGTAATAAATTGCTCCGTCATTTTCTGTTTAGTTCGTATAATGTTTTGACCATTCATCTTCAATTGATGCTTCTGCTTCATTAATATTATCAAATGTAGCCTCGTCAACCCAATATTGTAATCTATTTTTCTAACAAGATCTTTCATTTCCGTTTATTTCTTAATTTTCTTTCACAATCTTCTCATCTGATGCAGTACTTTCATATTGAGCAACTTGTACTACGTTCATTCTGTTTACTCGTGAACTCTAAGCTGAAGTTGAAGGAAAAGATAGAAGCAAAGGGTATCTAGAGATCTATGCCATACATAGCATAACACATTTCAATTTCTATACTTATCCTTTGATTTAATTAACTCTTAGTAAATTTTATTTACTGATTTTTTTTTAGAACCTATTAACAAGCCTGATTTATTTTTCTACCTGCCTATTTGAGTAATTTACTGATTTTATAATTATGTAACTTACTAATCATTTCATCTATTTGACAAACTAAATATTTTGTTTTCTTTATTTTTTCTAAATTATATCTATATTAATTTTTTAGTCTACTTCACAATATCCAACACATAAGGAACGTTATGATGTTCTTTCACAAGAAGCAACTAAACATCTTTTAACAACAATCAAACCTCGTCTTGTTTTTACAGCTCATACACATAGATATTGTTATACAGAACATAATAATAAAGATGGTAAAATAATTCCCGAATGGACAGTACCATCATTTTCTTGGCAAAATCGAGATGATCCATCATTTATGCTTTTATCAATAACAACAAATAATCAACGTGTATCACATTGTTATTTGCCACGTGAAACGACAATTTTTTGGTCATATGCTATTGGTGGTTTTCTTCTTACTTTTTATATACTATTTGGAGGACGAAGACCATTTTATTTAGTTGCTTGTTGTTTTTTAAGAAAAATGTTTAAAATATAGAAAAAAAAAGAAAAGAAAACGAAAGCAAAGTTAATTGTATTCTATTACAGATGTCTAATAATACTAATCATTTAAATGAAATCATTATATCTATGGCAAAAAAACGAGGTTTAAATAAAACATTTTGTCCATCAGAAATTGCTCGACAATTAGCATTAAAAGAAAATCATTGGCGTTCATTAATAGAATCTGTTCGATTAGCTGCTACTGAGCTTATTGATAAAGGTCAATTAGTATGCAAACAACATGGTGAAATAGTTGATATTCGAACAGCAAAAGGACCTATTCGATTACAAATAGCTTCTGATTGAAAATATTTCTTTGTAAAATTCCTTGTCTTTTTTTTTCTGTATTAATGTCTATTGCAAACTAAATCAATATCTTGTTAAATGAAAGAATATTGTCGTATATCTGTCATTATAATAGTGGACGAAATTTTTCGTACGATTTTCAAATAAAATTATTTTTCTGTGAAAATATTTAAAAAAAGATACAGAATTCAAATGGATGAATAGAAGAAAAACACGAGCTACATTTTAGTGAATGAAACTTTTCAAAGGACAACTCTCTTTGAAACAACTTGCTAACTTTACGATTGATATCCCATGATACATAGATATACTACAGACAATGACTGTACTATTGACAAAAAATGCACATCAAAACAGCTTTTTCATGAAGTTTACACTTAAAACAAAATTGTATGAAGTATTTAATCCAGTATTATTGTATATCAAATTGAACTTATTATTGAATTGCATAGATTCAAGAAAGCACATATATAGATTCTTTTTCTTTTAAACTTCATTTCTTGTTTTTCTTTTTATTTGTATAAAAGTTCATCGATATTCATTCTGCATTTTTGATTTTTTTCTTGTCAGAAGACTGTTTCTTTTTTTTTCTGATGAATCTGGTGAATGTTTTTAAAAAACGAGTGTTATTAACAATAACAATAGTAACAACAAACGACAACAAGAATAAGTAATAAGTAGAAAAAAAACCAAACACACACACAAAAGATTGCCTACGGAGGGAGAAAAAAAGACATAAGTTTAGTCATTTGTTCGCATTTCCATATTAATCTTTGTTTGATTCGTCGGTTGGTTTATTTTCATCTTCATCTTTTTTCTTCTTACCATCACCTTGTCCAGTTGATTCAGTTAATGTACTTGCTTTCTTTGTACCCGATACAATATCATCAATACGAAGTAATAAAATAGCAGTCTAAAAATAAATTTAATTTTTTTTTATTTAAAAACAAAAAAAGAAAGAACTAAATTTATTTTACTTCAATTGCTGTTTTAATTGTTTGCATTTTAACAGTAATTGGTTCCCAAATACCAAATTTATGCATATCAACTAATTGACCTGTTTCACCATCAATACCCCATGTAAATTGATCAGGTTGTTGATGATGTTTAGCACGAAGTGTTGTTAATTGTTTAACAACATTACCACCACAATTTTGTATTAATGTTCGTGGAATTATTTCTAATGCACGACTAACAGCTTTATATGGATATTTTTCAACACCTTTAAAAAATTCATCATTTGCTGTACCACCATTTGTATTTTCACTACTACTCATTGCATCAAGTGCTCTAAATTAAATTAAGATGATTTTAAAAAAAAAAGAATATTCTTATAATAGATAAAACCTTGAAAGTGCCATTTCAACAGCACCACCACCTGGTGTTAAACGTGATTCAAGCATAACATTACGTGTTACATTCATAGCATCTTGAAAATTACGTTCAATTTCATTTAATACATCTTTATTTGCACCACGTAATATAATAGTACATGCTTTAGGATTTTTACATTGATCAAAAAATGTATAATATCTTAAAAACAAAATAATTTCTTGTAAAGAAAAAAAATTTTGCTTTTTCTATTTTCTTACTCGTCGCCAATTTTACGTATTTCAAAAAGACCACAACCAGTACCAACATCATCTTCTTTTAAATCTGCTGTATCATTAACAATTGATGCACCAGTTGCACGTGAAATTCGATTATTATCAGATTTTTTCGTACGACGTACAGCTGATATACCAGCAGCAGCCAAATAATGTGCAGCAACATCTAAAATAAATATTTTTTTCTTTCAAAAATAAAAACAAACTTTTTTTTAAATATTTCTATTTACCCGAAATTCCTTTTTCAGTTACAACAACATCTGGTTTAACAGCAATGATATCTTGACACATTCCACGAATACTTTCTTCTTCTAATTGTAACATTCGTCTATATATTTAAATTAAATTTATAAGAAAATACAAGTAATATACAATAAACATACGTAAAATCAGGTTCACCACTAAATTCAAGTGATGTTTGACTTTCACCTTTTTTATATTCAAGTGAACAATCAAGTAAAATAATACGAGGATTTTCAATACGTCTAAATATTCAAATAAAGAAAAGAAAAAAACAACAGTTAATTTGTATCATATTTTTATCTATTGATGTATACCGTTTCATTTTTGGATGAACAACATCTTTATTAAGCATAGCACCTTTAAGTAAATATGAATCTTCAACTGAACCGCCAGGAATCTATATATTCAAAAACAAAGAAAGATTATTAATTAAAAATCTATTAAAATAACAAACTTTTTCAAAACGAGCATAACGTTTTATATCAATTTCTCGGCGACCATTTTCATCAACAATAATTGTTTGTATTGCATCAAGTGATATTTGACAAGCTAAATCACTCCTAAAATAATTTATGAATTATAAATATAAAATTCTGATTTTTTTTTTCTTGAGTCTAAATCAATAAACTAACCATCTTGATAAATATTTTGTTCCAATACAACTTTTAACAACACGTAACATTTCATCACGATTTTTAACATCAACTGGTATACTAGCTTTTGTTTTCATTATTTCAATACAATCTTCAAGTGCTTTACGATATGCACGTATAACAACAGTTGCATGTAAACCTTGTTGAAGATACTGTTCAGTTTGAGCCAATAATTCACCAGCTAGATTTTTTTTGAATAAAAAATACAAAAAAAAAACATATTTATTGAAACAAAATTTTGTTTTTTTCATTACCTAAAATAATAACACTTGTTGTACCATCACCAACTTCTTCATCTTGTGTTCGACTTATTTCAATCATTGATTTACCAGCTGGATGTTGAACTTGAATCTAGAATAAACAAACAAACAAAAAACAAAAATAAAGAAATTTCAAAATATGAAATTATTTTCATTTACTTCACGTAAAATAGCATTTCCATCATTTGTTAAAACAATACCACCCATAGGATCAAGAACCATCTATTAAAATATATAGTGATTAGTAGAAAGAATTTTAGAATATATATATATATACTTTGAGCATAGCTCGTGGACCAAGACATGTACGAATTGTATCGGCAATTGTCTTTGAAATAAAAATAAAATAGTTTAAAGAATTCAAAAACTACACAAAAATTAATACTTTAGCAGCAAATATATTGCTAAATTGAGCTTTTTTGCCTTGATCTCGTTTTGTATTTGCATCTTGAAAAGAAAAAAAATTACAATATTTCAATTAATTAAAAAAGAATTGAATTACTTAAAACCATTATTGGTTGAGAACTACCAGCACCTCCGAACATCATTTTTAATTCCTGTTTTTTTTTAAACTAAAACCTATGTAATCGATATAGAAAGAAAAAAACAACAAGAAAGTTCTTTATGTACGTGATGATTAAATGAAAAAGAAGTATATTGTTTATTCCTCTATTTACCATTACAGTCCACCGTTGTTAGGATAACGATGGAATAATTATTAGTTGTCCGCAATCTATTGAAAATAAAATAAAATTTATCATCAGCCAGTGACATCTATTGCAAAAGTAAAACCTTATACCATAAATAAATTTTTAATACTGTCGGATGAAATTAAAGATTTTATTAATATGAAATAGAAATAGGTTAATCTGAAATTTTACTGTCGAAACATTAAATTGTTGGATTGTAATGTTGTTATCGAAAACATATCTGAATTTTCCTTTTCAGATTTCAAATGAAAAAAAAACCAATACGTCTGAAAACATAAATTCCAAATGATCATAAAATATATAATTTCTAAAACTTTGCAAAAAAAATCTGTATATATTTGATTAATGTCAAAGAGAACTAAAAAATTTTGACTTCGGAAATTATTGCATCCTATTCACTTGACTATGTTTCAGTAGGTCAGAGTAAAGTCTTGAACATAAATTCACTTTATACTTGGAAGATTTTATATTTGTTTCCTTCCATAGTTCTAAATAAATACATGTTCCGGTCGACATTAATCAAAGAAAATGTTTCACATCATATTAAATATTGATTCTATTAGTAGAGAAAGCACTTTTTTCCTCTCTCTCTCTCTCTTAATTCATAGTGACAATTGTTTTTATAATTTTTCGTATTAAATTTACTTGTTAAGTTGAAGCATTTTGTGTCGTCGTGCGGTCGCCGTAGGGTTTTAAACATTACACTGTTATTTTTGTTCTTTTACTTTTTTTTTTTTTCTAAAACGAGAACGTGTTTGTTAAGTAAAAGAGACGAAGAAGAAAAAGTAACCAAGACAATCTCGTTCTTTCATCCCGTCTTCATTTTCTTTATACATCAACTCTAGACAGAAGCAGTTAGGAACAAAGAAGAAACACAAAAAAAAAACGAATTCATTTGAATAATAGTGTATTGTTATAAAACAATGACGGATAGTTCATCAACCAAATCACCAACATCACATCATACATCATCATTTGTTCCAACTAATTCATCTAAACATCATTCAAATTCATTTATGTTTGCTAATGGTGATCAATATGATGGTGAATATATACTTACAGACGAAGGTCAAATCATGCGTCATGGTCATGGTAAACATACAAGTGCTGATCAACAACTTATTTATGAAGGTACATGGAATCGAGATAAAATGCATGGAACAGGACGATTAACTTATGGAAATGGAACATCATATGATGGAGAATTTCAATCGAATTATTTTGAAGGTTTAGGTACATATACATGGCCAGATGGAGCACAATATACAGGCATGTGGCAAGGTTCAAGAGCGATAGGTAAAGCAGAATATACAGGACCAGTTTTGGGTGTACCATTTGTTGGTACAGCTAATGGACAAATAGCACATATGCGATATAAAGTGTCTTCTTTATAAGAAAAAAAAAATTTGTTCTTTCATATAAACGAATTTATAAACTCGGTGTAATAAATATGTTATTGGTTTTGTTTGTCTTTCATAAAAAAAAGAGAAAAAATAAAAAGAAAACTTCATTAGAATTGTATTCAAATTAAATTAATTTATATCTTATTGTAAATATACTTTTAAGAAAAACAATGTAAAAGATATAACTCAAATATCAATTTATGGATGAATTTTTATTTTATATTGATGATAAAAAAAACACATATTAGTCGTATTGTTAATTTTATTACAAGAGAAATGATCTAATAATTCACATCAGATATCTAACTAAGATTTTACATATTGTATTTTGAATATTTGAGATAACTATTACAAATCGTTAAAAATGATATACTCAATGAACGAATGAAAATTGGATTGACTGTTTCAATAAAATAGTACACGAACTATTTTGCCGTTGTATTCAGTTAAGATTAATTATTGAAAATTTTACTTCTCTTGCATTGAACAAAATGTTTAAATGAACTATTCCGAAGACCGAACTGTATATTTATCAAACTATATAAAGACTCTAGCAGAACGCTGTACAACTGTATGTAATCATTATTATTATTATTGCATATGTGAATAGGGATTCGTTTTTATGAGACAAAAGATAATGATTCTTCTTGAAGAAATCATAGTTTTCTCTATTTTACTGCTTCCATACGAAGTTATTTCTCTTACTTACACAATATATTGAATATTTTGACTAGGAAGAAAAATGAATGTAAAAAGTGTTGAATTGAAAAAAGATAATAAACAAAAGAATTTCTTATGGAAAATTTTGTTATTCCAAAACAATTACGTATCTACTAGCTAACTGATCCATAATCATCAAAATTATTCATATTTTTTATTGCCTTCTAGTGACCTCTTCTAACAAGAATGCAATCTTAGAAGTTGTTACCATGCAACACCTCGTTTTTATGGTTGTATATATAGACACGTTTGAAACAAAAAAAGGTTTGTTTCGAATACAAGAAGTGCATTATAGGAAAAAGAAAGAAAGAAATAAATAAATAGTATATACTCATTTTCTTTAAGTCCTTTTTGTGTTATAGTATTAATCTTTTTCTTTGCGTTCTGATTTCAGTAAATAAATAAGTGACATACAAAGAAATACAAGATGGGTGCTGCCTCATGTAGAAACTCTAGATCATCTGAACAAAATCAAGTAAAAGAAGAAAGCAAGTAAGCCTATTACATATTCTGTTGTCTATGATTATCCAGAAAGATAATATTATATTCTAATTAGAATTATTCAAATATTCATTGCAAAAAAAGATTTCATTTAATTATATTTTCGTATATAAAAGCAGTCAGGTGTTCATAGAGAAAATCAACTTTAAGATAATTTAATCCTGATAAAAAAAAATCAATTGTAGAATAAAATAACTTTATGAAATTAATAAACTTTTTTTTATTTGATTTTTTTCCCTTTAGAAAAATTACTGTTGGTGTATTTGGTCTTGATAATGCCGGTAAAATAAAATTATTTTTTTGTTTTTTTTTTACATATTATTTTTCTCTTAAAAAACAAATTTTTTTATTGTTTTTATAGGTAAAACATCAGCTGTTAAAGCAATTGAAGGCTGTAAGATAAAAAACATATTTTTATATTTTCTTTTGTTTTTTAATATTCATTTAATTTTGTAGCTCGAACAAAAAATGTTGTACCAACAATCAATGCAAGTACATCAATGGTTCCATATCCAAAAACAACAAAACATGACGAAAAATCTGAGGAACGTATAAAAATGATTGATGTAAGTGGTGAAAGAAAATATCGTGAACAATCATGGTCTGATTATTATGATGAAATACATGGTTTAATATTTGTTATTGATGCAAGTGAAAACAAACGAATAAGAGAAAATAAAAATACACTTGAAGATTTACTTGGCAATGATAAACTTCGAAATAAACCAATACTTATGTAAATTAAATAAAAATGAAATATTTCATCAATATCTTTTTATTTATTTATTTAGTTTGGCAAATAAACAAGATCTTAGAGGTGCTTTAAATAAAGAAGATGATATCAAAGAAAAACTTGAAATTGAACAATTAAGAATACGACATAAAATTGTAAATAAGATAATTAATCATAAAAAATTTTTGTTTTTTCTTGAATTAAGTGTTTTTTTTTTATCTCATTTATTAAGAAATTTTGTACAGCAATACCAAATAAAGATAAAGGTGAAGATTCAATTCGAGAAGGTTTTTCATGGTTAATACAAACAATTGAAGATAATTATACGGATTTAAATTCACGTGTTAATAATGCAAAGAATTCTCAGCGACCAAAACCAATTGAAAGAAAACATGGGTAAAAATTATTAATAAGAGAAAAAAAAAACAATATCTATTTCTAATATTCATTTATTTTTCTATTAGAAAATTTGATGAATCAGATAGTGATGATGCAATTGTATATCCAAAAAAACGAACAACATCACCACCATTAAATAAATTTAATACAGATTATCGTTCAATAACTAATTCAACTAAATTACCAAATATAGATTTAAATAAAACAAAACCAAAAATATCAGGTCATGATACATATAGTGAAGATGAGAATGATGATTATAATAATAATGTTCATTCTCGTGTACGTCCAGTTGTTTCTCCAGTTGATTTCGATAATAAATATCGTAATCATTCATTAAATCCATTAAATTCATCAACAACAAATACATTTAATAAGAAAAAAAAGAAACTTATTGGTCCTCCTAGTGGTAATAAAGATACATTAAGTAAAAAATCAAATGATAATGAACCAAAATCATATCGAGCATCATATGAACCATTTCCTGAAGAAGTACCATTTTCATCATCAACAAAAAAAACAATAAAAACTGATGATACCATGCCTAAACCATTTACAAGATCATCAATATCAAATGAACCAACAAAACGTCAAATAAGCCCACTTATTCATGATACAAAATCTTATCATAGTAGTTCAATATCAAAAGGAGCTAATTATAGTGATAATGATGATGATGATTTTAATCAAAAACAAAAACATAAAGTAAAAAAAAATAATTCTAATAATAAATCAAATATTTTATTTTGAAAATTTTAGTCAACAATTCCATCAAAAACTCGATTTGAAGATGATGATGATAAAAAATATCCATCATCTTTATCAACAAATAAACCATTATCAACTTTCAAAAAATCAACATCAGGTATTTATGGTGCTGATGATGATGATGATGACGATAAAATAAATAATAAAAATAATCGTCGTCCATTTGGAACTACTCC